GTTTTTTTTCTTTCTGTTCATTAGTACTTATAGTTATAACGAGAGACTGAAGTATTTTACAATATTGTATATACATACTTTAACTTTTTGATATTCAAACACTAATATCTAAATTGATTATCTATTTTTCATCGATAATGACAACAAAGTTAACATTTTCCTATTCCGAACTTTTATTTACGAGAATAGAATGTTCTAAAATTGGTGAGTCCGAAAGCACCTTTTCGGGATTTGCCTTAACTAGAAACATCAGACCCTACACATAAAAGGCCACGACTGTGTGAATACTTGAGTACTTGGGGAGATGTTTGACTACAATGAACACAAAAAGAAATAGATAGAACAAATCTCAGTTAATTATTAAACAAGTAATTTCCATTTGTCATTCAAATAATAAAAGTAAATTAGCTTTTAACATTCAACTGTAGTTTCCATTTACACTTTATTTGCTTATTATAATTATGTTTATATGCTAGCAGTAATCTAAATGAAGATCTTTTGCAATATACATATAACAAAACATTCATTACGAGTGTAATCAGACGGAGGAGTAGCAGGCGTACGCCAAACCGAAAATGCATAACAAGTATTTTTAATGAATAGTTAAGCTATTTCAGCTGATATTTTATAGTGTGTCTTTCTATGTTGTGATGTTACACTATCGTTTCAGAAAAAAGATGAAGGTTTTTTACTATTAAAACGTTTAAACCCGCTGCATTTGTTTGCACCTGTCCTAAGTCAGGAATCTGATGTTCAGTAGTTGTCGTTTGTTGATGTGGTTCATAAGTTTTTCTCGTTTCTCGTTTTTTATATAGATTAGGTTTTCCCGTTTGAATGGTTTTACACCAGTAATTTTTGGGGCCCTTTATAGCTTACTGTTCGGTGTGATCCAAGGCTCCGTGTTGAAGACCGTACTTTGACCTATAATGGTTTACTTGTATAAATTGTGACTTGGATGGAGAGTTGTCTCATTGGCACTCATACCACATCTTCTTATATCTATTTACAACAATAATAATGCATGTAGTAAGATCATTTGGATGGTCTGTGGTATTTATTTTTATCGTTCTGTGGTATTCTGTGAATTTATTAGAGACTTCACTGGCTATTAACCAAATGATACCCATTTGTACATACAGTCCAACGGCAGGTCTGTTTTGATTTTTTTTGTTTGGGGTTGGAGGGTAAGAAGGGAGGGGGGTCGAGTGGAATTCGGTAATGAATAAGACCTGTAAATAAATAGCTTTGCACAAAAAAGACAAACAGTAGTCAAAGCCGGGCAAGGAAAAAAAGCTATGCACGAGGGAGATATATTCCTTAATTTAAAATTATAATCCGAAATTTTGTAACAATACTTTTCAATAAAACAAATCCGTCTGTTCATGCCAATAAAAAAGTTTCTTGGATGGTGATACCATCGGGGACTAACATTCCAACAGCAGAGGTATCAACCGTGTGGTACTAATAATATTAACTGTACCAATATGGAACGCCACAGCTGCATTATGATAACGATAATCATATCATTAAGGGTTGAGATATAACATGATGCAAATTTTCTATATACTATTACGACATTTGACTATACTACTCTGTCAATTTGCTATATCTGTAAGCTGTAAGCCATTGAATACAATTTGGTTCAATATGTGTATTGATATCAGAGTTGATTCCCACAAGAAATATTATTATTCCCATTCTTTCATTAGGCAAATAAGAGTATTGATATAAAATTCCAGTATGATAGACAACTGTCACTGTTTTCAAACAATTACACTCATCAGCCGTAAAAGATGCAAAACCCAAATTCGAACTTTATCTGTATATTGTGGTTAAAAGCATTGTGGATAAGTTTCAAATCATTCGGCCAAGCTAAACTAAAGTTCGAGAACGGAAACCAATTTCGTGACGTATATACGGACGGATAGACGGACTTACGGACGGATGGACAGGGTTAACACTTAATGCCCCCTTCGCCTAGCGGCGGTGGCATACAAATAATATAAATCTAAACAAAGTTGGGCTGTTGCCGAATAATTTAAAACTGTACTCAGTTCTTTGTGTTGATTGTCTAAAGGTCTGTATACTTTTTGGTGAAATTTCGTTTTAGTTTTATGGACTTTATTCATTAAAAAGGGGGATTTCACGTTGCGCTGTATCTTGAGAATGCCTTACTTGATTAACATCAAGCTGTACACTATTGTTTTTAATGGTAGTGTAATGCTCTGTGTAATTTTTTGTTAAATTTTGATTTTTCCTTCCAGAGTTATGGACTTTTTCATATAAAAAAGGGGGAGGCAATTTTTCACATGTCACATTTGTATTTTGAGAATGTCTTGCTTCATTAACTTCACACTTAACAATGTTGTTTGTTATGACAGTCTTATGGTCTGTATAACTTTTGGTGAAATTTCGATTTTTTTCTTCCAGAGTTATTGACTTTATTCATTTAAAATGGTTGAGGTAATTTTTCATATGTCACGCTGTATCTTAAGAATGTCTTGTTTAATTTCAATTCATAGATGCCGTTTACAAATTCAACAGCATAAAGGTCTATTGAAAGTTTTTTTTCAGCTATGCTGGATCTATGTGATCACTCCGGATTTGGAGATGGCACAAAATCATAAGTTGAAGACATATTATGAAAATAATTAAGTGTTTTTTATGACTTGCAGAAACTGTATACACCATTTTAATCATCAACTGTCAACTTTAAATATGTTATTTGTCCTTAAATTATGAAAATCTTTGGCGAACAACTTCTTTGTTTTAGATATACACTTGCATATAGTTCCTTTGTAAATCAAAATTTATATTAAATTGCCATTTAATAATTAATTAGGAAAATGTGATTTATCAAATTTAAGCAGTTGATAAGAATAATGAAATTATTTTATCAGTATCTTATGTTCCTGTAAGCCATTGAATACAATTTGGTTCAATATGTGTATTGATATCAGAGTTGATTCCCACAAGAAATATTATTATTCCCATTCTTTCATTAGGCAAATAAGAGTATTGATATAAAATTCCAGTATGATAGACAACTGTCACTGTTTTCAAACAATTACACTCAAAGGTGTAAATTTTGATTGGATTCAACTCCACTCAACTGCAGTTGTAAGTGATCACAGTTAATATATCATGACAATTGATAATCATACTGGTATTGAGGTCAAGAATTTGTGTATTCAATTTATTACACATCTTACTGAATATACAAAATCTTGACCTCAATAATGTTCCTATTATTTATTTTGATCAACACTACATAAAATTATTCTATTAGTTGTGTGTGAAAGCTGACTGATTAATAAGATGTGGGTTTTTTTTAAAGAAAAGACTAAAAACAAAATATGTTTAAAAAAATGCAACCAGATTTTATTTCACTTGTAAAATCAGTTTCATAATCATCTGACATAAGTTGATAATTAAGGTCTTTTTAAGTTACAATTACCAGTAATTTGGTAGAAACAATAAAAACAATTGCATAACTCTTACTGAAAATTTTCTGCAATAAATCTATTTGTATATTCCCCATTATATTGCTATTTAACAATAATTGGATATAACTCAGCATTAGGGTTTTGTACATGTTTATTTGAATACAGGAAATGTATTTTTCCTTAAAGGAGAATGAACACCAATTTAGATAAAACAATAGTTATTTATTTTTGTTGTTGTTGAGAAAGTGCATTTTTTAATGCATCTTTATGAAATTATTAAGCCAATTATTATTTATGGCATATAAAAATATGCTACACGTTTGTCAAAATCATTGAATTTCAAATGGATCTAAAAAAAAAAAGGAATGTTAAAATATCTGACAGTGTCTTCAATTGAAGTGCAAAAATTATTTGCATCAATATTCTCACAAAAATTCTCCATCTTTGGACAATAGAATAGAAATTTTACAGTGATATTATGGAAATGAGAATAACAAAAGAAATATTGAAAATATGGTCAGAAAAAATGTCAGACTAGCTGCAAAAATCCATGATGCTTTGATTAATATATATAGCCATCTCGCCGCCCATACATCTTCAACCGCCCAACTTTGTTTAAAGTAAATATTATTTGTATGCCCCTGTCGCTAGGTGAAGGAGGCATTAAGTGTAATGTGTAAGTGTCCATCCGTCCGTCCGTCCGTACATACATATGTCCCGAAATTGGTTTTTGTGCTCCAACTCTACTTTGGCTTGGCCACATGATTTGAAACTTATACACAATGCTAACAACCACAATATACAGATAAAGTTCGAACTAGGTTTTGCATCTTTTACGGCTCACGAGTTATGCCCCACTGAAAACTTTGAAATTTTCCGTGCTCTAACTTAACCTTGTCTTGGCCGATAATTTGAAACTTATACATAATGCTTATTTCCACAATATACAGATCAAGTTATAATTTGGGTATTGTAACTATAACGTTCATGAGTTATGCCCTTAAGAACTTATGTGGAGGCGGGGGCGTCTGTGTCCCGTGAACACTTTCTTCAATTTTTTAATTTGTATTTTGGAAAAATAACGTAAATTTCCTAGAGATTGTTAGAATTAAAAATCAATAAAATTTTCCCACTCGCCCCACTTGCTTAAAACAGGTGGATGATCATCTACACATTAACTTGATGTGGCCATACTTGAACTTACCGAAAACACAGAATAAAAAAAATAATTGAAAAAAATGAATTATAATATTTTTGCCGCTATTTATAGAATTATCTACAGATAGTACGATGAAATGGTCCTGTAGAATAATCAAATAGTCTACTGGTATATAAATGACACCTCGTGGTATAAGAAATTGGTAGCTTGATATTAAAATATGTCTTCATAAGATAGTAATATGACAGAATAGTATAGTAAAATGACAAAAAAAGTATGAAAATGTAGCTCCATGTTATATCAAGATGTCTTCATAGGTATAAAAGAATGTCTTCATGACAAAGTAAAATAACAGAATAGTATGAAAAGGTAGCTCCATGTTATATCAAAACGTCTTTATAGTATATAAATTTATTTTAGTGATATAGCAAATTGACAGATTAGTATAGTCAAATGTCGTAATAGTACGGAAAATTTATCTTACACTATTTGCATTCGAGTCACAATTTCAACGATATTTCCTTATGATCTATTTTGAATAGAGTTCATCTTAAAACATGACAATCCAATTTGTAAATTCGCAGCGCAGGAACAGGAATTAGGCAAACCACAGGCAAAGAAGGTATTCTTGTTGTGTTGCTTTAAATATACTACAGCAATGTTAGCGTTTAGCAAACTGACAAATCCAATTCACATATATTTTTTTTTAATTTCGCAGAAGGCGACTACATTAATTGGAATGTAGAGTCCTTTCATACTTTTCAATTTGTATTTCGAGATCGTAGTCGTGATCTCACAGTTTGTCAATTTTCCCATACTGAGTAGCCCCATTAACATCACTAAGTTTGTTCAGTTTAATCATTTCAATGTTATTTCCATCCGATTCTCCTTTAGTGTCAGCTGGTTTCCACAAGGGGCTAGGTTTCAATGTAGAAAGTAATCTCTACAATAAAGATTAAAAGTATATGCAATGGATAATAGTAAAACAGAGTTATAAACAAACGTATAATCTGAAACAACACAAGCTGCTCAACCTTAAGGTATACGCAGCAAAATATTATTGTCCCGGTTACAACAAGGATTTTTTGGAACAATGGTTGTTTAAAAACGCAATAAAAACATTTCGAATACTTGGGACGCATTCAATTTATAAAGTTTTGTATTCACTGTTTTCCCTACCATAAATATAGGTTAACAATAGGTTCACAAATGAATTTCTCAATATTGTATCTTGGGTTTTTAGTCAAGGCAATCCTTTACGAACAGTTTATATAAAAAAAACCTATTCTTGCTTGAAGTGCATCAAATTTGTTTTTTTCCAAAATTTTTGTAGCATTCTTTTTTTTTTTATTTCATTTGTTTTCATGTTTCCTTTATTTATTAACATCTGTGCTCATATTTGATGGTGGTTGATGAAATAAATCTTATTTTCAATCAAATTATATTTACAAAATCCTAAACATAGAGTTTTACATTATCTTAAGGAGATAGTAATAGAATTTTTTGATGAAAGTTTGATTCAGCAACCGCTACTGTCATCAAATACAAATGCTGTTACAACAGCGGTCCAGGTTAAGGGAGATTTGAGCATTCGTGGGCCTATAATCTAGTGGTTGTCGTTGGTTGGTGTCAGTCATATCTGATTTTCGTGTATTGTATTGTTATAAACCAGGCATTTGGTTTTCTAGTTTGAATTGTTTAGGGGTCTTTTATAGATGCCTATACGGTATGGTCGTTGTCCATTGTTGAAATCATTGCGATGACCTATAGTTCCTTACATGTACATGCACATCATTTGGACTCTGGAAGATAGTTGTTTCATTGGTAATATATCATATCTTCTTCTTTTATATATAATAACAATACGAAAATTATAACCACCCCGGCCTTAGCAAAAACAATAATCCAACTTCCGTTGACATAATAGGTGTTTCTTGGAATAACATACACATATCGCAACAAGAACGTTCACAATTGAACTACACAATTTTTCGAACAGTATAAATACTTAAATGGAGAAACCAATCATAATGAAAAAATAAGAAATAAAAAGGTGCATTTTCTGAACAATTCAATGAACTGTCAATGTCATAAATAATCCTGGATTGGTTTAATCTTAAAGGGGTGTAACTGCTGTTTTGGTACATCCTCCGGTAGCGAATACACTAGTACGTGCTATATTCACGAATAACCAGCATACTACTTAAGAAATAATACCCTTAGAAAACACCAGTCAACTAGCAGTAATATTGTTATAATATTTCCAAATACTGAACGGCAAAAGTGAAAATCTTCCTTATTGGACTACACCTCCTTTCTGTCTTCAGTATAAACGTATTCAAATTTAAAAATCATTTGTTCCAAGGTTCTCATGTTATTACTGCAATCTATATAAGATTGAGTTTTCCAAACAATCAATCCCTCAAAGTTTTATGAAAAGGGAAGCGAAAATAGAATTTTAAAAATGGCTAAATGAGGGTGGGTCTGATACCTAAATCTTGCTCTAAAGTTGGCACTTAGTTTTCCAAACTGGCGACAAAAATATAGCTGCTGGTACTTTTTCTACAGTCAACTTTTTCGGAGCCTGAGCAGCCCCGAAAGTTTTCAGATTATTGTGTCAGGAACCCTGCTTTTTATAGGTTTAAATATGGAACCAAAATGACAAAAAAACAGTCCAAGAATGACAATTATTATAAGTTAATCTATGCAAGTGTTTTTCATATCATTGAAATAAAAATCCTAAAATCTCCGTTACAAAAGGGGAAATGTGACCTTTAAAAATCATCACTGACTAATGGATATGTCAGTTTTTCGTAAAGCAATGTAGAAAATACCAAATAAATTAACGCATTTTTTTCTGACTAATTCATATCACACTCCGTTCAGTCTGACACTAAATATCGTTTCATGCGGGGAAAAGCTAAAACAGGCCACAATCATAAGAGTATGTGATAATATTGAGAGTGTTTTTCGAATGCAAAGCACATACATCATTAGTGATTGTATTTGAATATTTACTGCATGCAAACCTCAAAGATGCAACCACTACGTGTGGTGTGCAGTTATTATTATAAAATCAGTCGCCGTTGAAACGAGAAATCAAGTATTGTTTTTATCAGCAGAAATAGCACTAGAATCTGAACGTTTTGAGAGTATCATCAACTCAGTAGTTAGTGCGTCGGTACTGACATAATTCATCACAAAATTTTATAAAATTTTAGATTGATAAATTAAGCATTATTCAGAAACTAAGGTTCCAACTACCTTAGGCAAAATTGACTTTAGATGACTTTTGCTATATTTCAAGATCTCTTTTGTTCAAACTGCTCCTTACGTGCTCAGGTCTTGTACATCCTTGGCTTAACAAGTTTTGGGTTTGGGCGTTCCTGATGAAGTAAAATTTAAAAAAGCGCTTTGGTTGCTGGAAATTAATAGCGGTTTTTTTTTTATTTTGAAATGAAAATATGATGATCTAGAAGATTGGCATTTTTGGCAAAAAATAAATTATCATTCATGTTAGCATTATTATTTTTTCCCCTACAGAATAGGTATTTAGAAAAAGAAATGAATGCAGCCGATGATGAAGCGTCAGTCGTACCTTTTAGTTTATAAGGTTGACGATATTACTAATAAACTCATCATAGATACCAGATTTTTTTTTTTGTGTATGCGTAAAATTGCGTCTGTTTGGTCCATCTAATATTTTTTTTTTCATGACTAATAACTCCTTGATTGGAAATTGCATTACCGAAATAACATACGTAGATATGGTTGTAAATTTTATTTTCATACCACATTCGTTCAGTCCTGTCTAGTGCACCAACAGCGCTACGAGTAACCCTTTTTAAATGTTATACGAAATTGGACTTTATACTACTAACTAGTATTTTTGAACCCCAGACATATCAAAACATTACTTATATGAAACATAGTTTGGAAAGCTTTCTATTTTTTACATTTATAAATACTTACTTGAAAAAAATCCCCTTCTGCCGCCAGGAAGGATAACACTATTCCTGTAGGAATCATTATAAGTGGCACGATGGCAATTATCCACCCAACACCAATGGCCCAGGAAGGATAACTCTTTTTTCCATACTTAATTGGTTCATGTTGAACATTATTTATAATCCATAATGACTATGAAAGAAATGATAAAGATATTCGTGGAGTACTCTTGGATTAAAATTGTTATACAAGCTAATTTTAAATATGTTGAGTTAAATGGTATTAAATACTTTGAATTACATGTAATGTATCAAACGGTTTACTTTACAATTAATAAGTTTGCTTAATATATTGAAAAAGAGAGTAATTCTCTATTTATATATATATCTTTAAACGTAATCCCATAAACATGTTATAATTAAAAAACTTGTAGATGTCAAATGTTTAGAAGCATTTGCTTACTGCGACTATTAATGGGCATGTTATTCTCCAACAAATCTTCCATATAGGGTTCGGCATGAACCCAATCATCATTTCAATGTCACAGTATAACCTCTCTGTGCCTAAAAAAAGATTACTGAGTATTATGACTCACACATTTGAAAAAACATAATGAACAAATAAGAATTGCAGATTGTATTTTTTTTTTTTTTGGTTTAGTGCATGGTTTATTAATATAAATGTAATATGTTCTTTTTAAAAGGAGTTACGGTCTGAGGGTAGTGTGTGCTTATCGTTATATGTCTTGGCATGAAAACATCATATTTTGGCCGTAATCAACGGTAGCAATGAACATAAGTTGAAATAATATATAGATAGTTTTTAGTGGTTTTCATGTAATTTGAACAATACTCTCGATAAGTACAAAACACTGTCCATTTTCTAATAAATTATAGCAATCAGTTCAGGAACTGCAGTTTATAGATACACACTCTTTTAGAAATTGGAGTAACAATCTTCTTTGACTGTGTCTTTGTCTAATAAATATCAGCTTATAAAATTTAGGTTAGCGTCATATAATTTAGCAAAAAAAATAAAGTAAAATTATAACGTATACGAATAATTTCTATGTAAACATTGCAATGGTGTAAACATTTTAGGAGGCTTCAATATTTTTTACCATACTCAATGTCCCAAAATAGTCAAAAGTAACCTTACACTTTTAACATATTTATTTCAAACCATAGAACAAGAGTTTTAATGTCAAACGTTTGAAAGAAAGTTCTTGACGTAAATGCTTACTGTAAATCCATGCAAGTACTATCACTTCTAATAACAACAGGAACATTAACGATACACTTGCAGCATACCAATCAATTAACTGTAGAATATAAACACCACCCTGCAAAAAAACAAACATAACTTAAACTTAAATATTATTGTTGTTATCAAAATCACTAAATTTCCGTTAAAACATGCTTAGAATGATGTTGTTTCATGCACGTCAATCAAACAGATTTCTTCATAAGAGTGATTTTTTCAAATCGTCTACGTACTTTATATATTTTCTTTTTAAAATAATTTTTTAATCTTTAAAATATTTTGTCCAAAGGTGCCAGTACCCATAGTTCCTATCAATATTATAGTACTAATGCACATAAATATTTTGTATTTGAGGATTTGGTAAAATTAACTCTGTTAACTCTTTGACATCTCGAGCTCACGGTGGTGTCATTTGAACTGTAAGCGGATTTTAGTTCGAGCTTTCGAGTTAAATTCAGTATTTAATCAAATAACAACATTTTACATTTGTAGACTCTTCCTTGTTACTACATTTTCTTCGTACTTTTACCCCATATTTTTCCTACAATGCAATGAGTGCGAATTCCATAAAGTACCTGAAACCTTAAAATTATCCTATTGATTCCATGATCAAATATTTTCACATATCAATATGTAAATGCTCCAAATCATCGTTCAATTAACAATAAAACTTTACAACTGATAAAGCCAAAGGCAAATCTTAAGATAAAACAGTAATACCACTCAGGTGCATAACTATTGAATAGTTTGCTTTTAGAACTAAATATTGATAATCGTTCACACAGTTTAAAGATAATTGTTATATATTTTTTATTAATAATATCTGCATACTTTGTTGAATCAGATGCTGTAAATGACAATATCGAATAAAATTAACGACACCAACTTTATTGGACCAGATTCGCACATCGATAATCAAAAGCTGAAGTTGAAATCATTCCTTCTTAAATTTTACGGACGCCATCACGTGTTGGTTGACCGTTATGGAATATCTGTTTCATAGATTACGACGTATATGTCCCAATCATCGTTATCACAATCCCGTCCTCCTTTTCCCCGAATTTGACCTACAGAATTAGACTTATCAAACGTGTAAAGTGTTGTTTGTCTGTTAGTCTTTTTTTTGTCATGGCATTGTCAGTTTAATTTCGATTTAAGAGTTTTAATGTACCTAAGGTATCTTTCGCCTCTCTGTGTTAATTTTCTCCTCAGTAATGCTCGAGGCCAATATATTTTTAAAAGTCCAAAACCTAATACAAACGTTAAACAGCTGATAAAACCAAAAAAGGACCAAAATGTATTTCTTTGTATATATATTGTACTGTTTTCTTTCGTTTGTATACCGCGTGTTTAACTGTGTTGTGTTGATGACACCGAGGAAGATTTAATTTGATCATTATGTTATCCCCTTGAAATAAAGATTATTTTTCATAACGTCATGATCATAGATACAATAGGCTTAAAATAATTGTGTGGAAATAAATGTACTTACCTGAGTAACACACATTAGTCCAAGAAAAAAACCAGTTATGCATACAAATAGTCTTGTAAGTGTTTTGCCTCTCTGCTTTAAGTTAGGAAAGTTGTCAAATATACCTGTAGTTATTACTTGCACTTGAACGATCTACAAAGACAACACTTTACGTGTCATGCACGGACAGATATTCACTCAAAAATTTAAAAATGTAGCTTATTATGAATATATTAGTGTAGTCCTTATCTCTGTACATTAGAATAATGTAGACGCCAAAAAATATTCACACTAAAGACGTCTTTAGGAGTTTGGTACATATCTCCTTATTCTATGTGTGTTTAGTCCTTTCGTTTTATGCTGTTAAATATCTTATCTTAATGACTTTTTTCAAACGTTTAGTGTTGAGTGAAAAATCATGATGATTTTTAAACAAACACAGTTCGTGCAAAAGAATCTATCTATATCTGCTTTTTAAAGCTCCGTTTGCCGAAGAAGATTCTTTTTACCTCTGTGTATTACACGGATCCGTCATGCACCAACAAACTCTATAATGTGTAATTTTTACTATGTATAAAAGTGTTGCGAAGGAAATAGAGAATGGAATCCGGTTTTGAAGAAACTAATTGCTGTACCCATGCTACTTACCATTGTATTCAGACCTATTGTAAATAACATCAAGAAAAAGAAGACAGACCATACTTGAGGTAGAGGTAAGGTTGCCAAGGCTTCCGGGTACACCATAAATGCAATACCTGGGCCTAACGAAATTATAACAATTTAGTATTATATGCTTTAAAAAATGATCTGTAAAACATCACTACATATGAATCAACAAATCGTTTTTCTGTGATGTCATACTTTTACTAAAAACATCTGGCATAAGAATAGGAATGATATTCCACACACTTCACAATATTTCAAATGTTGGACATGTGATAGCGTTAATGCTATAAGCTAGGTAAAACAATTGTATATGCAACATTAGCTAAACAAACACCTTACACTATGCATGTTCCAAGTTAGATGTCAAGTATCGTACTTAAAAAAATGTTTTGTCATGTTGATCTTGTGGGCAAGTAATTATTTGCAAAATTGCAGAAATTAAAGTGATTGAAAATGATTTCAATTGTGACTTTTAACGACGTCATATTGTTTACCCTTCCAACTAATATGCAAAGCAAGGAATAGCAATTGTTTTATTGGCAAAGTATCAACTATTAGATATCAGCAAACAGATAGTACAAAATATACAAACCACTGTCAAACTTTTCGACACTACGTATATGAGGAAACATACTCACACATTATCATATTTCGACTTACAAGTTTCAACATTATAAATCCAATATATATCTATTTGTCTTGCGAAGAGAAATTGCTAAACGATTATCGATGTTCCTTTTTATTGTACAACTGTATAATTGTGGTCGTGATGTTGTTTCAATTTATTAATTTACATATCTCTGCTTGTTTAGTAAGTAAGTAAGTAAGTAAGTAAGTAAGTAAATTTTTATTCTAGTGACATGTGTAATGACATTTTAACAAAATACAAATATGCTACAAAAACAATAAACTACACCCGACCCATTGGGTCTATAAGTCACTTTCAAAATCATAAAACGTATTTCTTATATCACTGATTTTTAAACAAAATAATGAAAAAAATTAAGCTGAATTAAAAATAAATAATTCATAATGCAAAATACATAAAAATGAAATAATTTAAAGATTAATTCAATGTTCTGTTAAATAAATAATAAATTAATAATTTTAATAAAGAATCGGAAAATACTAGATTAATTATTTAGTAAATTGTTTTACACTTTAATACTACACGCAAACACACTCTCATTTTTTATGTGCATGAACAATGGCATTGCTTTCGACTTAACTACATTTGTAGATATATCTATAACCTTTTTCAATATTGTATTACCTTGTTTGACAACATCATCAATTTGAACGTTTGAGGCCTCAGCCATGTAACCTAATGTGGAAAACACTACACATCCTGCAAACAAACTTGTAAATGTGTCCAAGACAGGTAAGATCATGGCGTCTCTGAAAAAGGCATTATATTTATACGTCTTTTCACGTCAGTCATGTAACTTAATAACACACACATTGCGAAATGTAGTTTGATGAGAAGTGCAATTTTTTGTATTAGGTTTGTTTAATCTGTGAATCTGTTCTTGTCGCAAATACAAATATGAATGGGGTGTAAGTCAAAAATACTGCATTTGTACGGCACAAAAAGCAACAAGACTCCCAAAGATCACCATACAGTTTTTATCAATGGATGGTGTTCTACACAATAGGTCAAGCGTTAAATCGCACTAGCCGAGAAACGTTGTGACTTGATCATCAAATATAAACCCTCAATACAAATTTCTCCTTGAAAGAAGGAATTCAGATTTAAAAAAAAAATTGGCAAGGCTCCTTTTAACACAGCCTCGTTTATTTTGTGGGTTGATATTCACTGAGAGCTTTATTGTGCATCTGCTTTTATTTATAGGTTTTGAAATCTTAATATTGGAAATAAAAGACGGAAGTCATCTTTTACTATTGCCATAAAATGGAATGGACACGCATGGTCATCTTAAATCATAGAAAATTTATATCAATACAGATAGGGGTTACGAGCTAAATTGTTTTCGTTTAACATTTGTTTACTATGCAATACGTCATCTACAAATATATAAATGATACCTGTAGCAATTGTTGTGGAATTTGTTGTAGCTTGCTAGTGTTATTATACCACCTATACCAAGACCTGATGAATAAAATACTTGTATAGCAGCATCACTCCAAACCTGTTAAAGTACAAAATCAGATGTGTTTAAGCAATATTAACAAAGTAAACAGCCACTCCTTAAAATTTACAGGGACATTTACCATATGAAGGTAACACCAATAGTAAATGAAGTAATGGAAGGAAAATAACTTTACCTTATCTTTTATTTTCATTCAGAAATCAATCTTTCTTTAAGTTTTTAAAAAACATAGGCAAATGAAAAAACTCTAACATTGATTTTTTTTTTTTGTAATTAACTTAATCAAATATATTTCCTATATTTCTTTTGATAGAAATAATAAAGACAACAGTTATTCTTCATGTTCTTTACATTTATTAAAGTCTTTCAGAAGTTGAATGTTCAAAATAAAATTTGTTAGTTAATCATATATATTTGGTGATCAAATAAGCTTAGGGGAGGGATGAGCGCACACACAAATGTTTAACTTCGTCAATTTCTTTAAGTTTATTTCCCAAATCAGAAGCCTCTTTCTCATTGGTGGTCGTTGATTCCTGTCTGCCATAATTTTTTGTTTATTATTTTAGAATTCATTAGGTCCTTGAAATTTCTCTTTAGAATTGTTTCACATATTGCCATGCCAGGGCTTTTAACTTTAAGCTTACTGTGCGGTTATATTTTTTTTTTTATGTCAACCTAATGTTGACCTCCAGGTTATATCTATGAGAATTGGTATTTGATGGATAGTTGTGTCGTTGGCAATCATACCGAATATTTTTATATTTAATTTGAATCAAAGTATACAACTTGCGTTCAAAATTTAAGAATATAGATCTAGAACATTGCACAAAAACGAATACATACAAAAAAAAGTAAAATCACAAAAATACTGAACTCCGAGGAAAATTCTAAAAGGAAAGACCCTAATCAAATAGCAAAATCAAAAGCTCAAACACATCAAACGAATGGATAACAACTGTCATATTCCTGACTTGGTACAGGCATTTTCTTATGTAGAAAATGGTGGATTAAACCTGGTTTTAAAGCTAGCTAAACCTTTCACTTTGTATGACAGTCGCATCAAATTCCATTATATTGACAACGATGTGTGAACAAAACAGACACAATAGATAAGAATGTCCCTGTTGTGTTGTTTTAAAATATAAGGTCGTACATTTTTTATCAGAGTTGTTGAATCATTCCATTTTTTTTCGAATTTAGTGGAAGACGTCGTTTAAGTTTTCCGAATTTTGGAAATGAATTAGCCGATAATATGAGGTGACAATTCGAGAACACATTCTTAGTACAGTTTTTATTGTAGCTTTTGTAGACGTTGAGTTGACTTATCACCGTATTTTCTGTTAATGTGTGTTGTTGGATTGATCACTTTTTTGCAAGTCACTTTTAAAATGTGAATCGACATGATAATGACTGAATATAGATTTATGAATATTCCCCGAACTTTTCAAAATTATCTTGTGTTGTCTCAAATAAATCAAATACAATTTATTGAATAAGAAATAAAAAGTAAAATAACAAAAATAACGAACGCCAAGGAAAATTTAAAATGCAAAGTTCCTTATCAAATGACAAAATCAAGATATTTTCTGACCGCTGTAAAGGAGACAAATCTGATTTGATTAGATTTCACTTTTTCTGGTGAAGGTAACAAAGAAAAGCGCTTAAAACAAATTAAATACAATGTGATGCATCTATCTGTTGTATAATTGTTTATGAGAAAACTGTCTACCAGAGTCTAAATGATGTAAATGTAAGTAACTCTAGGACACCGTACCGTCTTCAATAATGAGCAAAACACATACCGTTTAGTGAACGTAAATTAATAATGCGTTTTGTTTCTTAATTGGCCTTTTTTTTCAATAAAACAAAAGTAAGATGTGTTTTATTGAAAATATAAATTCTATTTATTACAAGGGGAGGTTATCTGGTTATAAATTTTAAGTCTAATAACAACTTTAAACGGTACCAATTGTAGTTGATTAGATGTGCATTTCGACTAATAATGTTTCCTAAATGCTGTTCGAAGCCTATTTATTTGTAAATGCAAAGCCTAATACAGACATTGAAGATCTGTATACAAACGAAAAGAACCTAACAAATAACAAAGCCCGCACCAGGAATCAAAGCTGTGTATCTGGGAAATACATTCCTGAATTTGAAAAACGGTCAGGCTAAACTTCCTTATACCATTGGTCACTACTAGACGCAAAACACGGAGTAATGCGGAAACGATAGAAAATAGTTTAAAATATAATTCAAAAGAAAGTATATAATAAATACCGAAAATTTTAGTAGATCATTCCATCTCGGGATAAAAAAATATGCCAAGCCACTTAAAGCTCCAGGTAAGAACAATGACCTAATAAGCAGTATCAGCAGGAACACATATGGTATAGTAGAGGCTACATACATCACCTGTTAATATAAAACATTAGTATTTTACAAATGTATGATACATGTGTACATATATGTACTTTTTATATGCATATCAAAAACAAATGTGGTTGGGCTTAATACAATAGTTATTAAGTGATGATAGTTTACAGAGGTCAGTTTAAATATATATCTTAAAAGGCAGCCACAATCAAGAAAATGAAATAAGTTAACATAACATGGGTGCTTAAAATGAGTGTAACTAAATACATTAACAGGGTAAGCATTTCTTGCTATGATGTATGGATCATGTATACTCTTTGCTGAAAACTTACTCCATTACCCACATGAGTTATACCACTGATTAAAAACCGTAAAATGTACTTTTAAGTACTATTCTGTCATTTTAATGATGTTTAGAAGACTATGTGTCGTGTATCGCATACGCCGAAATAAAAGGAGATGTGGGGTCCATGAAGTTATCAATCGAATAATAATCTAACACAGGTAACGATACAGTCTTCAACAATCGACAAACTTTGTACTTTAATAGTTGGAAATTAAGTTTTGACGATGGATAATTAATCAGTTATGTCAGAAATAATCTAGAAACGATAATTATGCGATCTTTTTCCTAAATATTTTCTTCATACAATTCAACATTTCAATGTTTTGTTGAATTGGACTATCAAGCCTCATTTAGAAAGCTGAAATTTATTTTCTTTTTTGTTTAAATTTTTAACTTTGTATACTTATTATTGCACTATTGCATACCATCCGATATTTTTGAAAATTGCAACTCCTATAAAACAGTATGCTGTTCACAAAGCCCTTTGTTTCATGGGAATTAAAAACAAAACGTATATTGTGTTCAAAAATGCAGAGTAAATATCTTGTTTTTCTACAAATAAACATGTCAATTAGTATCAATACTAACCTTTCCTGAAGTTTTAATTCCTTTCAGTACAGAGAAAAATAACGCTGTCCAGGCTGCTAGCAAACATAGCACAAGCTGCCATCGTAAATGGCCTTGATTTTCAATACCATCAGTCATATCGAGTACATGTCGTCTTTAAAAAAAAACAATTATCAAACAATCATCAGTTCTGTACTTGTTACACGTGGGGGTTAGTTTTGTTTTGGTTTGTTCTAGTTTGTAGTTTTTATGTTTTGTTCTGTGTTCATTATAATTAAATTGGAAGGTACTGTAAGATTTGACTGAATAACACATGCTGCTTCTATTGGTAACTAGATGTACTACGAGAAAAGCACTTACAATAATAAACCAGCCCCTGGCTAAGGTAAATCCCAAAAATAATCGACTCAAAAACAGAATAAGAGAATACAATGGCATTAGATAATTAAAAAGATGAGCAAATTTAATCAAATTATGACCCGGTATTTAGAATTCAATATAATACAATTATCAAAATACAATTCGCTTCAGGCGCACGAAATTTATAGAATATTATTTTCGATTACTAGCACTGGATCGATGCTGATGCTAGTGAACTGCTACTCACCGAGAGAATACCATTAGCTCAGTAGTAATTGCTACGATATTGTCATGTTTTATATTAACAAACATTCCTTAAATTATCCGGTTATAAATTACTAAATTATTAAAAGATAAACTGAGGCTCCAACTCCCTCCGGCAAAGTTGACCGTAGATGAATTTGGCTATACTTTTTATGTTCCTGTTTGGTAATTTGGCTTCTGAGTGCATTTAAGATAGTAACCACCTGTACATGAAGGTTTATACATGCATGACACTTAGTTCCATTATATGTCAACGCAAATGCATCTTTCCCAATGGTGTTTTTTCTTTACATATATGTATTAGTAAATCCCATGAGAAAATGTATAATGACAAATACATTATATCATAGTTATTCTGATAACTTTTGGCATTCCCATGGGAACCAACTGTGCTCCCCTTCTTGTCGACTTTTCCTTTATTCATATGAAACGGACTTCATACAGGAACTTCTTAGGAAGAAAGAAAAGAAGTTAGCAGTATCCTTTAAATTTACTGTCCGCTGTATAGATGGTGTTCTCTCACTTAATAATTCAAAATTTGGTGACTGTGTTGAACGCATCTATCTAATCGAACATGAGATAAAGGATACAACAGATACAGTTAAGTCTGTTTCATATCTTGACTTACATCTAGAAATTGACCATGAGGGTCGGCTGAAAACAAAACTTTACGATAAAAGGGATGATATTAGCTTCCCAATTGTGAACTTTCCATTTCTATGTAGCAACATTCCAGCAGCTCCTGCATACGGAGTATATATCTCCCAGTTGATACGATATTCCGGGTCTTGTATTTCCTATCATGATTTCCTTGATTTTCTTGATAGAGGGTTGCTGCTGACAAGGAAGCTATTAAAACAAGAGTTTCAAGTGCTGAAGTTGAAGTCATCCTTTGTAAATTTTACGGACGCCATCACGATTTGGTTGACCGTTATGAAATATCCGTTTCACAAATGATAGCGGATATGTTTCAATTGTTACTGTGTGTGTACTACCATGAGCAACACGACAGGTGCACATGAGGAGCAGGATCTGCTTACCCTTCCGGAGCACCTGAGATCATCCCCAGTTTTTGGTGGGGTTCGTTTTGCTCAGTCTTTAGTTTTCTATGTTGTGTTTTGTGTACTGTTGATTGTCTGTTGGTCTTTTTCTTTTTAGCCATGGCGTTAACAGTTTATTTTTGACTTATGCGTTTGAATGTCCCTTTGGTATCTTTGGCCTCTCTTTTCCTATTTTCAATACTAACAGTTTTTTTTTCTTTACATGTAAATTATTCATGGAAATTCCCTACAAAGTAAATATTCCTTGAATATCCGTTACATCATGATTATTTCAACAACTTCTTTTAGTACATAGTTATTTTTTTCCTAGAAACTTTGTTACATTAAAATTTGCAGAAACTTTAATTGTACCAAGAAGTTCTGTTACAGAATTATTATTCCAGGAACTAGCTTCTCTTTATGTAACAAAAGTTTCGTTAAATCTGTTCTATGTTGTTGAGCTGTTCAAACGTAGCAAAAGTACAATAAGTTTTCAAGAAAAGTAACTACATGAAAGTTCTAACCGAACGCGATTGGATTTGAACATTTTACAACAGAATATTTCGGTATTCTTTAAAATGTTCTTTCGTGACATTTGAAGAACTGTATAACCTACGTATACTTTAATAAGTAGCTATTTGTCCTTTTCGCGTTGACATTTAATCAATGGGTGTCCAACTTTCTAGTTAAATTCGCTCACGATAATGGCAGTTTATGTAACTTTTATTACTTAGACCAGTATTTTTTTTCCATTTAAAGTAGACAATACATTGTCGTTTTATTCAGAAAAATTGGGAACAATATCACCATATACCTCCCTCTTCAAACAGATAATACGGGGTACACTGTATGATATAACTAATAACTATAATTTATTATCGAGATATGCTGAATTGTTCTATCATTTCTCCCAAATTAATTAAAAAGATATAAATACCATACTGTGGATTCATTTATTTTCGTGGGTACCAATTTTCGTGGATTAAGGAAAACTTGCATGTTCGTGGATATCTAATTTCGTGGTTTTTGACAATGCCTGCATACAAGCCTATAGTAAATTTGCCATTCGTTGAGCATTTAATTTCGTGGTTAACCTATAACCACGAAATCCACGAAAATTGGTATCCAACGAATAATAATGAATCCACAGTATGCATTATAATAGCCAACAATCAAGATAAACCTACAGACACTGTACCTTCAACTCACACAATGATACCCCGCTCCTTGCAAAATCATTTAAAACAAATCAAATTAAAGGTGGACAAAGGCGTTATATCATGTATATGATGAAGATTTTAAGAGTTTTCGTACATCAAAAAAGATGCTTAGAAGGATTTGTGGATGGGAACCCTCAGATAAATGTTTCTTTAGTTAATCACTTTATTGTCATCGCTTTATCGGGGGGCTACGATTTTCATTCCGTTAATCCTCCTTACCACAATGATAGAATTTATTGAAACTTTTATAGAATCATCACCGTTTGAAGCAGGGTAAATGAGGAATACAATCGTGTGTACAGTATCGATTTGTACAACAGGGACATTAAATACATTATAAATGGTATTAAGGGCCTTTTTACTTTGTTGCTATTTGTCTTGTCATTTCAACGTAAAAGAGGTGATTCTGCATATTGAGGAATATGCATTTTACTGGAAATCTATATATAAAATTGAGAATGGAAATGGGGAATGTATCAAAGAGACAACAACCCGACCAAAGAGCAAAAAACAGCCGAAGGCCACCAATGGGTCTTCAACACAGCGAGAAAATCCCGCACCCGGATGCGGGCTTCCGCCGGCCCCTAAACAAAAATGTGTACAAGTTCAATGAATATGGACGTCACACTAAACTCCAAAACATATAAATGAACTAAAATTAAAAAAAAACATACAAGACTAACAAAGTCCAGAGGCTCCTGACTTGGGACAAGCGCAAATATGCGGCGGGGTTAAACATGTTTTGTGAGATCTCAACCTTCCCCTATACCAATAGCAATGTAAAATAAACCAACACACAGCAATACGCACAGTAAAAACTCAGTTAAAAAGAAATCCGAGTCTGATGTCAGAATAGGTAACAAATTTAAAGAAACTAAGCAAAATGACAATGATACATAAATTAGCAAAGGATTACAAGCAGTTACTTACATGACAGTTCCAGACCTCAATTAAACTGATTGAAAAATTATGTCTTCATCATATGAAAATCAAGCATAATCCCTCCCGTTAGGGGTTTAGTATCATACCATCATAAAATATATGAGATGAACATAACCCGCAACGCGTATCATGCCAACAACTGGTTTTAGAATAAATGTGTTTATTTCCGATGCAAAGATCCTATGAGTGAATTTACTATAAAAGCATTACGTTTCATATATATGTATGAAAGGAAATGTTGGAACGCAACATTATTTATAAGACCAACTTATGGCGGTATGTTAAAACGGATTCTGCAATCGATTTACCTGTTATTAAAATGGGCATTTCTACATCATTTTCGCCTAAAAATGGTCGAATCAAAATGACTGTACAATATGGTTAACTAAAAATGATGGCAAACAATGTATGTCAGTTATCTATAAAACAGTCTCTGATGAGATCGCTTCACAAGTTGCCATTGTGTTATAATCGTTTGGCTTATAAAATGTAAACGTAAAAAACTAAAACTGAACTGTTTTTGTTTAAATTCGCGATAGGCTTTTTCTTTAATTTTTTTTTTAAAAGAAAATCAATATGACCACGTAAAATTTCATGGTTCATCTTAACGGCAAGAAAAGCGCCAACAAACCGTCAAACATTAATTCAAATTCAATAATTTAGTATGTTTTTCATTATGTCTATTATACAATTTGATTTCATTTAAACTGGTCAGACCATAAACGCATTAAATGTGAGAAGAAAGTATCCAGTAGTTTTAAGTGACAAATTGTATACTTCAATAATTTTCAATATAGTAGAAGTGTCAAATGTCTTACTGCTGGATAAAATCTTATCAACTTTTCACAATGCAACAAAAAATATGTATATTAAGTAATAGAATATGTTATCACAGGGTTAGTGTGTATAATTTAATCTTTCGTCAATTATATGACTATAAATGCATTACGTTTCTAAAACTTTTAAAACAATAATTTTGTTTGTTATAGTTTTATTTAAGAAAATCAAAACTTTCTTATCTACCAATTGTCTCTGTAATTAACGTTTCTTTTCTGATTTGTTCTTGTTAAAGGTTTTGTTAAACATGATTTATCCAAATAACATTTTCTTTCAGCAAATTAATAACTTTCCATATTAAAGGGAACCGTTTCTCTAATTTTTGTGCTATTTTCACATTTCTTGATCGGTGTGAGAAAATATGTGAAATATCTGTTCTCGGCAAATGATTGGTCGAAACTTAATTATAACGTCAAATCTTCTTGGTTTTTTCTGAATTTTTCTATTGTGACGTAATGAAAAAAGGCGACCATGCCTGATGACGTCACACATAAAGAACACAACTATCTGCAAATCTTTGAAAAGGAAGGATAAAAATCATAGAGAAACAGATTCCACAACTATAACTCGTTTATTACGATATTTCTCCACTCTCAACAGTTAAATTTTAATTATTTAAAAAGCTCGGCAAGCCTCGCGCTTTAAATATTAAAATTTAACTGTCTCGAGTGTAGAAATATCGTAACACACTTGTTGCAGTGGTGAAATCTATATTTATCAAACGATGGGGTAGGATTACGAGCTTTGGGTCATTTAAACTTTTATTTTCTACATTTTTCGTTGATTAAATAACTTATGTACTTATACATTATTGGATGTTTTGTTAAGGCACGTCCGAAGTCTTATTTTAGAATAACTTTCATGTGAAATGACCAAAACCAAACCAGATGGGACCCAAAAAAAACATGATATTAATGAAGCACTGACTACTTGGCTAATTATACCTTCGTAAGCAAGTCCGCCTACAGATGTATCGAGCTAGTACTAATAAATAAAAATTACATACATTTATAATAATAAATTGGTGTGTCTAAACAACTTTGTTTTACCTTGACCGATATTTATCCTTTTGCCTATTAGTGTACTATCCTTGAACATTACTTATTATCTATTATTATACTGCCCTTGAAAAATATTTACAAACACTTCGAATGAATTAAAATATGTATAGCCATTGATGAAGTTCTCATGCATAAAAGAAAAATATATTTTTAACAGTAAATTGGTTTTTTACGTGATTGATATAGACACCCAGTACACTGAATCATATGCAAAAGTTATTGTAATACTATCTTGATGCTACTTTGATTTGTTTGAATTTAATGTAATTCTTTATTTATTTAAAGAGGGAAGCTACGTACGGGTCTCCTCAACATAAATATATTCTACAGATTCACAATTTAACAAAGTTGTTTACAAACATAAAATGTACAGGGCAAGACATGCATAATTATTTAAACAACACAACCACCCTCAATTGTGTTACTTTCACATAGTTTCAACTTAAAGGGTAAACAATGCATTTACTTAACTAGACAGTTATTCGAATTTTCCAGAGTTGTTTTAAGTTGATTCTGTCTTCTTCGGAAGTGTAAACGATACGATAAACGATTCCGATATTTATTTGTAGGTGATGAGTTCTGTATGCAAACGAAATATCATAAAATTTCCAAAATTCCGCCCATTTACATGTACGTAAAAGCTTCAGTTAAACTACCAACTACTTGCGTTGATGGAACCTGGCATGAAAAATGGATAGATAAAGCCATTTCTTTATATTCAAACAAATGAACCGTTGAACTGAAGCGGTGTTTTAATAGAACAACAAACAAGCAAAAAAGGGAAAAAAACAAATATAACATACATCACATAACTTTCTTGTGTGTACTTACTCCCAGAACTCCTCGGCACTTGTCTGTCTTGATAAATTCATAATTGTTATATTTGTGGAATATTGTTGATCACTTCTATTTGCATGTTCAGTGGTAATGTTCAAAAAAGAGGTATTCAATAGACTGTCGTTTACAGTATGACCACGCAGATAACAATTGTCTGTATTCCATTCATTGTTACAATCACCCCATGGGATTTTGTAGGAAAAGGAATTCCCAAAGTAATATAAAGTCCATGAAACAATAACATTATAGTAAATACCAGAAATAGCAACTAATGTCAACATTCCATAGCCAATTCCTACAAAACAATTAATAAATACATGTATATATATCAAAATTTGTAATTTGTAAAGACTACATTATAACATCAATCACTAGCGCTAGCATGTCTTTTGGCAAGCTACAGAAGACAGGTAATTGTATTTGTGAACGAGTCCGTATCCAATGACAACATATAAGGGATCCGACCGTAAAAATGCAAAATATGAGCGAACATTTGGCAAACATGCAAAATGCATGGACAATTCAAAGTATTTCCGTTTTACAAAACATCGGCGTTTTAAAAAAATTTTAAACGTGTTTAACTAAGAGCTGTTATTCTTTAAAAGTAGTAGTTCATTTTAGAATCATGCAAACTCCGAATTTCATGATACATTCCATTAAAGAATACAAATATTTATTTTTGTCAATCAGCTGCCTATATGCATTCAGTAATAAAATTATATTCCATTTACTGCCTTACCAGGAGAGATAATCGGCATACATTTTACAATAAATTTTATAAGATTATATTATTGGAGTTATCCCCCTCAAAATGAGTTTTATAATAAATTCTTTTGAATTTAAATCTCGCCTGGTAATTTATATAAGGTTTCATTTAAAAACTATTTGATACATGAATTTCAACATATTAACTTTATACCCTTAATAACTTTTAAAAAATAAATCATATGTAGGCTTTCCTCCCATGAATTACACTTTGCATGATTCTTGTATGAACTGGTACTTGAATGAAATACCTTCCAGGGAGCATTTTATATTGTCGAATTCTTAACAATTTTAAATGAAATGTATTTTGAAACACGAGTACTTAATAATGAAGTTGAATACACTAACCAAGGACATTTTTAAAAAACAAATTTTACCTGTTGAAAAAATGACGTTCCACCCTTATATGATTGACGATGTTTTGTTTTTCGTATTTTGTAGAATTTTTAAATACAAAGATTTATTTACAATATATTGCCCGAATTTTTTTAGTGTTAAACAATTTAAAAGATCGATTAAAAATCTATTTGCATCATAAAGTCATTATTATAAAAACAAATCGTAGGTTTTCTTTTAAGGTAGGACCAATTTTCTTCGTGGTCCTTTTAGCATCTATGGACATTAATCATATTTCTGATTATTCAATAAGTGCCTACAATAAATGGGCCAAATAAAACTGTAATTTTTATGACTTTGACAAAACCGATGCATTTCTTTAATGACATTAAGGATATTCCAAACCAATACCAAATCGTCTCTAAAAAAAACTATATAGTATTCTTTTAGATACAAATGATCCTAAAAAGAGAAGTTTTACAGAAAATGTAAAGCGGACAAAATTTTTACAACATTTAGTCTAATTAAGATTCGTTGTCTGCACTTGCTCCACGTTTTCATTCGATTGTTATATAACGCTCAACATATAAAATACCGAACGAAAATGAAGAGCAGGTACGGAAAACTAATTTCAATTAGATTGTACAAAATTTAATTTGACATCAATATCAAGGGATTAACCAAATTTGGTTATTAACATAAAGCCAATTAACTTCAGGTTAATATCCATCAAACCTCTCGAGTTTTCACCAATGTCCAATTTGCAAATATGAATTATAGTAGAAAATGTTTTAAAAAGTTCTAATCCAACAAATGTTTGTTTTTGTCTCATTGAAAGTGACCTTTGACCTATTCTGTTTTATCAAAATTTCTATCTTTTTTCAGAACTGTTGTGGTTATTTCTTCGTGTAATGAAAAGTCTAGGTCAATGAGTGAATACTTTCAATATAAATCAAAACAAATTGGTACAGTGCCCCAAAAATAGAGTTAATCTATACATTGATGTAAGCAGTCATTTTAAGCACCATCTTATACTTTTATCATTTAATTAACTGTGTAACAAAATGTTATCCTACAAATGAGATAAAAATATTTCAAAGTTGCTAGACAGTAAAGAATGTTTAGATATGAGAATTTATAAAAACATCGGTCTATATAAAGTCAGAATTTAAGTTCTACACGAAACATGTCACGAGAACCATTTGAAAATTAGCAAGATGCTGAATATGTTTTTCAAAATATCAGAATTTATCACAAAATTTATACTATATAAAGTAATTTTGATCTTGGATTTATACATGAACTGATCCTATCTATGGGTCCTAAGTGCGATGCATGCAGCATCTCGGTACGATGGACTATCTTAATTAAGTGTAGTTTAAATTTGGCTTTGCATCGAGGCGATCTGTTGAGATTACGGTTTAAATTTAAACTATATGTGTAATTTGTATACATGCAATGCAATTTGAATTTTCCATTTCTGTATTAAGCCTTTTCTTCCTCATTACTTTTCATATTAAAAATATTCGGAATATCCTGTTATATAAATTAAAGTACATTTCTCTATCTAATAAATTTAAAGTACATTTCTCTATCTAATTTTCAATTTATTCTCTGCAATGCATCTACTTATATTTCTTTTATAATGATCATAAGTCTTCATAAAAAGGTAAAAATGGTGTATTTTTCGCACTTATTTACCGGTACATCAATAAAAACTAAATTGCTAAAACAACAAATTACCATATAACAACAGCTATTGTACTTTGTAGGAATAGAAGAAATATGTATTTTGAAAATGTAGGAAATGTAGGAATAGCAGGAAGACATGTACCATTCTTCCTACTAATTTCTTTATCTTGCCAATCAGCATATAACTTAAATAATGGTGGTTGTATTTTTGTATTTCGATTATTTGTAAAAAAAAAAAAAAACTGTACTAATCATAAATATAAATATGCTATATTATGTATCTATGTTAATCATCCTTTTAAAAAATATGTATCTTTCTTGATGCTGTTTTAGAAAGGCGTCTTTGAAAAAAATTTAGACTTGCCGTTCCCACTTGTTCATACTGTTTTCTATATACTAGTAACTCATATTCTAAGAAATTTCAAAACCTCTTTTGGCCAGTCGCCGTGCCTCATCTTCTTCCAGATGTAATTGGCACTCGAAGCATGATACCTCGCACTAGTATTGTACGGTTTGCCTTACATAGTTAAATATGTTGTTTCCAATGTATGTTTCTCATTGAATTATTTTATTGTTATGATAACAATCATGTTTGCAAAGGCGATGACCTCCGAAGTCAAATACATTTATAAACAAGTAGAAAAGGAGGCGTGTAATCTAAACCATTAAAATCAATACATTGTATTTTTCTATTTTAACATTCTTTTGTAAGAATTTGTTTGTAACTTAAGAGGTAAGATTTAACGGATGTGATAAAATATTTATGTTACAGTAATTTCATTTGTATTTAGTTAACACCATTTTTTGTTTTGATTTTAAATTACCTTTAAACAAGGGACAGCACAGCCATACTTTTCCAGGACCTAGGTTTGAATACTGTGCATAAGTAAACTCCAGGAAGACTAGAGGCATAGCCAACAGCATCATGAAGATTAAGTATGGCACAAGGAAAGCACCTATAGAATAAAAACATACAAATTATTACATGCATAATGTTTGACAATGGTTCGATAAATATCAGTGTGACATGTGTAAAAAATCAGAACTGAAATGTCCATGCCATGCAAAGTAGTCTGGTTATAATAAATAATCCTGTTGTCAAAGGTCACCTTAAGAATACCTGCATTATTCAAGATGAATGTACAATAAATCTCTGTGGACAAATTTTCTGTACTAAATTTTAAGGAAGCATACGCAATATGATAACCAAAGATCCCTATTCATGTTTTTCCCATGACGGCTTACAAGTTATCATTAAGTTATTCTTCTTTTTCAAACCCAAACACAATAACAGACACATTAAATGAGATCTTGTGAGGTCAGTATGTGTTGAGTGGGTAGCATAGAATCTGCATCGTGCAGATTTGTTTTCTTGGTCTGGTTTCTACTCTAAATAGAGACAAGCCAAATGATAGAAGTATACTTATATGAGGTGATATGTTTTTGGTCTTTCTCTGCAAAGGACAGACCGAAAGGGAAATGATGTGTATAAGGTTTCCGGATCAACCTAAACGTTGAGCTTTGACTCAAAGGTTAGAATAAGTATTCTTCAGAACATTTTCCACTAGTTTTTGTAGCTGTATTCTTAGTTGTTCTAAGGACAAGACAGAACCGATCAAAACTAAGTTAATCGTTGTCCATCTGTGGAGTAGTCAGTAGTACTATACAGTCCAACTGAATAAACGTATTAAGAGAAAATGATAGTACGGTTTCCTTAAATATTGCTTAAAAATAAACTAAGAGTTTTTACTGATGTACTTATCATGTGCGCGTATATGATGCTACAGAAACATGTATGTATAAATGTGGGAAACTGATACAAAAAAGAAAAGCAATAAGTAAAACAAGTCTTCTTTATTTTGTAAAGAAACTAGTCATAAAGCTTCATTCGGAGTTTTTTCACATATAGATTTACGATAGATCTGTTATATGGTACTGATACTGATATTACCAGAGAGTAACTTTAACAAATTTCATTTAACATCTCAGAAAGTAAAACACGTTAATATCTCCTATAAAAATGGCCAAGCCCGTCAGTTTTAAAGAACAAGCCATTTGGAGAATGTGCCGTTTCGCTTGAAGATATTATTTTCCTAAAGGCAGCCACCTTCATACAAGCTTAGGACATGGACCGAAAGTCTTCCTTACGTATATTTGGTCTTCTTTCTGAGTTTTTTAATGTAAATTTGTTTAATATTTCAATCTAATTTTCCCTGTATTTTGTATGTTTTTATACTTATCAATACGACTGTAGTCTGTAATACTAAACGTAGACGTGCAGCACTACATGAATACACTTCATTTTTCTATGCTTGTATAAAATTGATAAAATCTTTAAAAAAAAAACAAAAATTGCAATAGGAGGGGGAAGAAGGCATGTCCCAAGCGCCTATATCAACATTTAAAGGATGTTCAGATTATGGAATGTTAGAGAACTTTGAAGTAAAGCACATTAATTTTATTATACCATATTCCTTTGGTTCTGATGTAAAAAAAAAAAAACAGTTATTATAAATGTAAGATCGACCTACCTCCACCATTCTTGAAGCAAATGTAGGGAAATCTCCATATGTTTCCTAATCCTACCATTTCCCCGATGCAAGAAAATAGGAATTCGAACCATGTTGACCAATTTCCCCGAAAGGTTTCTGCCATAATACTTCCTTTTTTAAGCACTGAAAAAAATGACGATTTCAACGAAATCAAATACTTAAATCGTTATTCATTCAAGCAGCACGTTTCGTTTTGACCTGTGTCACATATACTTTTTATTTTAACAACCTTTCCGTGTGAAAAAACCTTTCGATATGTTTACGACTTTTTAAAGTTCTTTTAAGGTTTATTTGATTCGACGGAAACAAAACTTGTCGTATGATATTCAAAAGGGATTAGGCTGATGTCATTGACCTCGTCTAACCCAACTCTTTAGTTTTCTACAGAATTTGTCTGCCCTTACAATATTTTTCTTACTCTCGATACTCCTTTAAATAGTAAATGTCATCAATTTAAAGTTAACATTCTCAGGATTTATCAATCACTATCTTGTGACTTCTTATTGGATTTATTTCTTCTGTTTGTGGTACCTAAATTCAACTCATAACCAGTAGTCATAAACACCTGATTTGTTTTTGATTTTGATACATTAGCACGTAATTCAGGCCAAGGTATTTTAAACACTACTCTGCAGAACCACATATATTGAAAAAGATGTTTGCCAAAATATTACCTGCCACAATACGAATATGCAATATATTGTAGTCAAAGTGGTCTGGTGACTTCTTTTCTTACTTAAATATTTCAAATGAGCCGTTTATCCCTTTTCCATGAATGCAGATACATGTACCTACGGTCTTTTTATTTGAGATCCATGGTATATGACCTTGAAATTAAAATCAAGGGCAAAGGTCATTTCTGTGTTCTTTGTTTTGATATTTGCATGGTATCGCATATCCTCTTAAATTTCCAGAGAAAGACGATGAAAGAAATGTATTAGAATATTTAGGACATTATGTGGATTGGATGATTTGATTCGTAATGTTCAAACTAAGCCGGTGATACTTATAGGGGTTATTGCCCCTGAATAGTTAAACCTATGATTTATTTATTATAACTTGAGAGTAGTGCATTGTTAAGGCTACGGGGTCTTTGCATTAGTTTTTGTAGTTAAAATTGAAAATGCCAGCATGAAATGACAATGTATTTTGTGGGCACTTGTTTCATTCAAAATATGAAAAGGCCATGAATATTATTAGTAAACATGCACAACCTTCAGAATTTGTTCCTCGTTTGTTTAAATTATTTCAACCCGATGACCTTAGATTTTACATCTTATATTTATTCAAATATAATTTATCTTTAAATTTATTATTTTAATTTGAATACAAAGTTGTGAATCATACACTGTATGTCAATACATACGACTTTTTCTGAAGGCACAGCTGGTTATCAAGCTTCTTGATACTTTCGGGTCGATTACAACGTTAAGTTGTTTAGCTGACGAATATAGGTTACATTGTATAAATCATATCTAACAATGAGAAAGTACTGGTGAACAATTTAGTATTTTTAATATTTTAATATTGTAAAAACGACACATAATCCGAATAATCATTTAAAATTAAACAATCATATTCTTTACAGATGAATCAATGCAATGGCTCTAAAATATAACTTAGATTTAAACAAAAAGTTGTGAGAAATTGGAAGATCATACGCCGATATGAAAGCACGATAATTTATTATTCTTCTAAAAGCATATCTACCCAATACACATTAAGAAAAATGTAGATACCCATTCAAACAGTTACAGAGAAAGATGTCCTCGTCAGCTATGAAATAATTTCCAGTGTTACTTTAAAAAATTAATTTCAAATAAATAATAAAAAGCTCTCTTACATATGAAATGTGTTCAATTTCTATCAAATAGTGTGTAATGGAGAAGTATCAATGCTTTTTTTTCATTAGTCTTACCTTTCCGGAGCACATGAGATCGTTCCCGGGTTTTGTTTAGGTTCGTGTTGCTCAGTGTTTAGTTTTTATGTAATTATTTGTAGACTGTTGTTAGTCTTTTCTATCCATTTCTTTTTTTGCTATGATTTTGTCGGTCTTTCGTCGACATTTGAATTTGATTCTCCCTTTGGTAATCTCCCTTTGGTATCTTCCGCTTTTTTAAGCAGTAATAGAAATACAACGGAAAAATAGTTTACCTTATGAGATTCCTTGATAAAGTCATGTTGAATGTTACATTTGAGGTCAGCTCTATCTAATTCGACAGAAAGCATTATTAATTTATTATTTAACATTTACAACTATATGTCAGTGATTCGCCAGATGTGTAGCAACATGACATGATAATGTCACTGTTATTGTATTAACAAATGTAAGTTTCTATTTATGGAATGGAATAATATATTTACTTTTCCTCGTTTAAACAATGTTATATTGCAGACCATCACACAGTGATCATGAATCCGTATATTTGCAAATATTTAAAAACAAATATGAGAATGGCTAGTTAAACATTTTTAAAGTCCATGCAATTTCTTGTTAAACATTTTTTAAGCCCATGCAATTTCTTCTTGAAGCTAATGACTAAGTTCCGCCTAAGTCACATAACAGTGCTTACAAATTCTATATTGACAAAGCGGACCCATATTAAGGCGTAATTAGTACGTCTTTAATTCCATAATTTGAAGAAAATGTAAAATTTTATCAGTTTGTGGAAATAAATTAACTTGTAAAACCCATAAAATTAAACAACAAATTCCAAAAAGTGAAAATTAGATTTAAAAATATGGATATTTGCAACAACAACAAGAATTAAAAAAAATTAAAAAACGTTATAGATAACGCCAAAACTTAGTAAAGATTGAAAGAAAAAGATACTTATTCTCAATTTTTGATAGAACATACCACTTTACTTCTTTGATTTAGAAACTATAAATATTGTTGATAAAAAGTGCTTCTTGAAGGACTACTAAAATTCTTAATTATCAAATTGTCACACAATGTACGATTGTTTTGTTCAACAATCAAACTTGCAAATTGAAATAAGTGTATACCTAATGTGTTGCAAAGAACATCAACTTTAATATGGAAAATTGCATGCAAAGAACAAAGATCCAACCACAAACAAACAGGACATGTTTGATAATAAGCAAAATGGCTAGCCACAACACATGTATCTATTAAGTACAATAAGTCATAGTTTTTTTTTTAAATCTGTATTTTCAATCAAATAGAAGAGATGGCATAATCATCTGTTAATTTGAATCAAGGGAGATTTTCTGTAAATGATAAAAACACAGAGAGTTACGTAAAAGTCAACATGCAGTCGTTAATCATAATTAAGTGTCCATTGCACATATCAAGTTCAAAATCGTACGGAGAGCATAAACACATTTTAGGTAATATGCAGATGGTATACCCAAATAATCCATTCTTGCTTTATAACTAAAAAAAATCAAGCAAAAACCCAATACAATAATCACTGACGAGGTACCTGACTAGACACAGTCAAACCTCCAATGTGTGAAGTTTTATTAGTACCCATCCTTCTTCTATTATTTAGATCTCTGAGAAAAAAGGAATAGAGAAAAAAAGCACAAGAAAAAACTATCATCTCGGTAATATCACAATAATGGACAGCAAAATAATATACTGACATACTTTAAAAACGCAACACACATTTTGGTAATTTAACGAAGTCATGATTAATCTTCATATAACTACTATTCATACTTGTAGAAGTATGGTAAGGGAGCTACCATTTGATTTTTATTGGGGGAGGGGGCTAGGATGAAATTTGAAAAAAGGGCAGGACAGGAGTTTTGAGTAAAAAAAAAAGGCAGGATGAGCAACTTTGCAAAAATAAAGGCAGGATGACAATTTATCTAAAAAAAAGTCAGGATAAACTACACCCCCCCCCCCCCCATAAAAATCAAATGCTAGCTCCCTTACCATACTTCTCACTGTTTAGAAAACAAAATCAATATCTGACTTACCTGAGGTATTGACAAACCTGATTAATGACGTCGAACGAATTTCTTTAAGCGATTTAAAACCCATGAATGATTTTTTCTATATGAGACATTCTTTCTTATCCTTACCACACTTAATTTAGTAAATAGAATGTTGCTTTTTCATATTGTGGAGATTGAGAAATGAATAGCTGAATCAGGTCATAAAAATATTACAGGCAATAAATAATACGCGAACGTAAAATGTATGCTTGTGCATTTACTTAAGAAGAATTGCATATTTGAAAATAATAATTAAAATTAATAATCTAGTGTCGCGATTTTAAAGTAAGTCAGTAGAGATAAAAGTATATCATGCATGCTTAATGCCAGTTGTGGAGAAATGAGAAAGAACATGAAAAACATATCATTAAATATGTTTGACAGTATATGGATGAGGGGGGATTGGCGTGTCGATCATCTGTCATCTATAACCAGCAATTTGCAGTACATCACTCAGGTAGTTTTTTTCTTTATTGTAGACCAAAAGTTTATATTGGTCGTACAATTTCAGAAATTATTCATATTGCAATTAAAGATTGCAAGCAAAAAACGATTACAAGTCGTTCTAGCTGTGATACTGTCAATTAACTCATATGGATTTAGTTTAAATTACATTTTTAATAACATATTTAAATCTTTTTAACTATTTTTTTTATGTGTTATACCAACCGTAATGATTGGATGAAACGGAATAGAAAAACAATAATTCAATTTAAAATCATGTTAGATTGAACACTTTAGGTCTCAGAAAAATTGTATCAATTGTCATTTTACAGACAATCGATTACGTCCCGCCATTTCCTTACATTTTTATTCAATCTTAGCATACAAATAAAGGATTTATTTTGATAACTCAAAGAGGCAGTACATCCGTATACAAACTGTTCAGTAGTTGTCGTAGTGAAGATGTTAAAAAAGATATTTGACAGGGATTTTTATTCAAGAGAGAAAATGGGGTAAATTGAACAATGACGCAATGTTCAGAAAGAGAGTTTCGTCTGTGAAAGATGCTAGTAGATGGTTCTAAAACTTACACATTTCAAATAAAACTACTTCGTATGGTTTAGAGGATTTTTAGACACTCTGAAGAAAGGAATATGTCTTTTCATATTCATGGTTTTAATTTATTATTGTAACATGGCCTGTCTTTTTAT